AATTGCTTTTTAATTAATAACAAAAAAACGAAAAAGAACACACAAAAATACTACAAAGAAAATTTCAAAAAATTAGCATAATATATCATTATCACAGAAAACAGTTACAAACCTATCTATCTAATGCAAAAATTATTCAGACCCATATATATTTCCAAGACATTTATGTAACTACCTTCTTTTTTTTTAACCTACTGTTCTGGCTCTACAGGGAGGGGTTTTTTTAATATACATTTTTAATTGCTTTTTAATTAATAACAAAAAAACGAAAAAGAACACACAAAAATACTACAAAGAAAATTTCAAAAAATTAGCATAATATATCATTATCACAGAAAACAGTTACAAACCTATCTATCTAATGCAAAAATTATTCAGACCCATATATATTTCCAAGACATTTATGTAACTACCTTCTTTTTTTTTAACCTACTGTTCTGGCTCTAAAAGAGCTGGCAAAGGAGGCTCATAGGAAACACAGGCTGCTACCAGAGAAAAGGCTTTCCATCCACAGATGCAGATCGGTACCCAGTGGAATCAGTGTTTTCAAACTCCAGCTGTGCTTTTGCTACGAGCACCCTCCCTCCCTGGAATTCAAGACCAGCCACCGACTGCAAATGAATTGCAGCGTTATGTAACCTGGTGCAAAGTCTCTAATGAAGTTCGGAAAACATTAAAATGCGGCAGTTCTCGGGACCGGGGAGGAGAGAACAGGGAAGCCGTTGGGGTTTGCGTGGAAGCGGAAGCACATTTCTAAGGTTTCTTTCAAATATCCCCAACTTTTTTCTAGAGACCAGTGCCCGTCCTTAGCTGCGACTGGGCCGCAGACATTTTCAACTCGTGTTTCAATAGCTGCTGACACCATTAAGCTTTATGCTTGACTCATAAATGGAGTAACACCAATTTAATGGCCAACAGGGAGGCTGCTCCAAGACGGGGCTGTGCACATCCACAGCTTTTAAAAAAAACCTCCCATTTTCCTTTTGCAATTTCATTAGCTTATCTGAGATCAAACAGTGGTTCACTCATTCCCATGTATTCACAGGAATTCTACACTTTTCACACCAAGAATAAAATCAGGTAAACTGATGTTTACATGGGCAAAGCAGATTTAGGGCAATTTCAGCAAATGTCACCCAGACTGACTGGGAATTTTGGGAGCTGTAGTCCCAATCAATATAGGCTGGGGACAGACTGACAGAATCGGCCAACAGAGATATTCCGAGTCAACCTTCCTCATCTAGATGGATTCCAAACGCACCAGACGACAATGCCCATCAACCTCCCCTGCTCTTTCTCCCTTGCCGACGTGGCATTCTTTGTTAGAAGACCAACTGCAGCAGCTTGACCACTGGCCAGGTTACACCACCAGGTTCACCTTATGCTCTTGCTAAAAGCCATGTTCCAGTTGCCAGCTAGCCCGAGGAGAGAGATTTTAATCTTTAAAGTCCTAAGCGATGTAGGGTCTGACTACCTGAGGGTCTATCAAGAGATAAGACCTTCCTTCTCACTCTGGACTTTTAAGTGCGATGGATGACTTTGGTCCTTTTTAACCGTTGTGTATGTTTTGTTCTGTTGGGGTCTGCTCAGAGAACCCAAGGCACTGAAACAATGAAGTACAAATTGAAATCAACCACAACAAATGGTTGGGCTTCTTTCTCGGTTTAAGGTAGCACGGTGACTGTAAATCATACTGAAATCCACATATTGATTTCACGTCTTGTTCCTATCACCCTGAATTGACTGAGGATAGGATCATGGGCATGGGGGACTTAATGAAGCCTGGCTGTGCTCCCTGCGTTTTGTGGACCCAGTGGCCAGCATAGATCCCCCCGTGGTCAATATGGAATCAGTCCACGGTAAGCCGGCTTGGTTATGACTCTTCAGAGACAGAAACTTGCCAGAGAAGGAAACTTCAGAGAATGAAAGCCCAAGCCTCCATCTTTCTTCTTGCAGCCGTGATCAGATCTAACACAAAAAAGCATCAGGCGAAGGTCACACCATCGAAGAGGAAGGCTGGCAATCCAAAAACTGCCTTCCCAGACGTAATCTGGCTTGTGGCCAGAGAGTTATAACACAGATACAATCCCCAAGTAAAAAACACTGCATTAGAGGTAGACCCATGATTGAACTGCAAGACTGAAAGTTCTCTGCTACCGTCTGGGGGGCATGGAGCTAGGTCCTCCCGTGGTCCTTCCCCTACTTGATGCCACCACAGAACTGGCAGGAGAGACAAACAAATCTTCTTTCACAGGTAGCCTTGTCATATTCCATTAGCCTTATCTTAACATGGCTTGTTAGCTATATTTGCAAGTCTTGGAAGAATACGCGGACAAACTCCCTGATTTAATGAGGCTAAGTGCGGCACGGCTAATATTTTGTGGGTTTGGGATTTACGATCTTCACTAAATGCAAAGCTCTTGTAATTTATCAGCGCCCAATGTTTTTAAGTAAACAGGAACAAGTACTTAAAATCCAGCAAGCGCTGGGCGGAAGAAAGTGGAGGGGGGGCTTTGACTCAAGGTCTTGGCAGATCCTCCTCCTTCAGTGGAGATGTCAGATTGGAGGGGTGGGGGAAATCTATTAAGAGGGTGTACATTATTTATTAACCTGCAACAGGAGTCTTTTGCCATTGGCAGGCACTGGAGCATCACGCCAAGAATACAATCTATACGGGTGCAGTGTCGTTTCCACAAGTGACATGCAACTGCTCCTCTGGCAATTACAGTTATGAAGCTTTGGAAGACATCAGGCCAGGTCAGAGGGAGAGCAGGGGACAAAATGCAAAGCAGAAACTCGCCAGAAAGGACACCCCGTACCGAACTATGTTCTAATTTGGTTATTGTTTTCCCATTCTTCGAGCAGCAGCAGCAGCAGCATCTGGCCAACCTTGTCTGAGAGTGGAAGCTAAGCAAGGTCTGGTTTAGTCAGGATCTGGATGGGAGGCCACCGGGAAAACCCAGGGCTAGACCGAGAAATTGGAAAAACATCTCAGAGATCAGTGGCATAGCACCTCCATATTGTTGCCAGGATAATGCATGGAATTGTCCAAGAAATCACCAGGAGTCTACCCCCTGCTTCCTGCTTGTGGGAATCAGCCACAGGTCATTAGGTCCTGCCACCTACTGCAGCAATACTTATACTGAGGGACCTGTAATTCCAAAATTGCAGAAAAACACTGCAGACATTACAATGGAATTACAATTTTAAACACTACAGAACACTGTAAAAAATTAATTCTATAATTAAGAGGTTTTAGAAAGCCCAAAGCACTTGTCTACCAAGGAAGATGCCCACTGCTTCTTATCCGAAGCAATTCCAAAAGAACATCACCAGAATTGCTCCCATTCAAGAAAGCACATCTACATTCAAGACTCATTCAGAAATAATTTATTAAACTTGTATGCTACCCAATTCTCAATGACTCCGGGCAGCTCACAACAATCAAACAAAGAAATTACAATCAAACATAAAAAAAATCAAGATAAAAAAAATCCAGGATAAATGAATAATTCATACTCTTTCTTGCTAATAGCGAAGTGAGCTGTTAAATATCACAAGGAGCTTGTTTCAAACTTTACTTCTACTACCGACTCATTTCTTGGGAAGCTACAGTCTTGATCTCACCCCCTTCATTCATCTAGCAGGATAATATGATTATCTTTTAAAGTTGCTGCAAGGATTAAAGAATAACATTTGTGAATTCTTGAAAAGTCAATAAATGTAATAACAACAACAAATACCATTTGCCTGCAAGCAAGAATTGGTAGGACCACAAAACAGACGAGGTAATAGAAATGAAGAAGCTAAAGTGTTCAGAATTCAGACAAACACCTGCCACACAACACCCCAGACTTAACAACTGTTGATAAGAGAGACAAAAAAGTCTGGATAGTGGACACTGCAAAACCTGGAGACAGCAGAATAGAAGAGAAAGGACTGGAGAAAATCACCAAATATAAAGACCTGCAAATAGAGGTAAAATGACTGTGGCAAAAGAAAGCAAAGATATTACCAGCAGTTACAGGTACCTTAGGTGCAATCCCAAAACATCTGGAGCACCATTTGAACACCACTGGCACTGACAAAATCACCATCAATTGCAAAAGACAGCTTAACTTGGAACAGTTTATATCCTGTGACGATACCTTTAACACCATCCAACAACAACAT